TGCCCAAACCCCCCCCCCCCCACGGGCCTGTCTGTGTGTGAAAGGGTAGAGCCATAACCTCTCCATCGGCCCTGCCCTGAGTGTGACAGTGGTGGCGCCCCAACCCCCTGATCGGCCCTGCTCTGTGGGTGATAGAGGGTGGCGCCCCAACCCCCCTCCACGGGCCTTGCTCTGTGTGTGACAGGGTAGAGCCATAACCTTCCCATTGGCCCTGCCCTGAGTGTGACAGGGCGCAGCGCCCCAACCCCCTGATCCGCCCTGCTCTGTGTGTGACAGGGGGCGGTGCCCCAACTCCCCTATCGGCCCTACTCTGTGAGTGACAGGGGGGAGCTCCTCAACCCCCTGATTGGCCCTGCTCTGTGCATGACAGGGGGGAGCTCCCCAACCCCCTGATTGACCCTGCTCTGTGCGTGACAGGGTACAGAGCTCCAACCCCCCTGATGGGCCCTGCTCTGTGAGTGACAGGGGGCAGCGCCCCAACCCCCTGATTGGCCCTGCTCTGTGCGTGACAGGGGGTGGCGCCGCAACCTCCCCATCAACCCTGCCTTGAGTGTGACGGGGGTGGTTCCCCAACCCCCCAATCGGCCCTACCCTGAGCGTGAGTGAGGGTGGCATCGCAACCTCCCGATCCGCCCTGCTCTGTGCATGACGGGGTGGCGCCCCAACTCCCCAATCGGCCCTGCTCTGAGCCTGACCAGGGGCTGCACTTAGGGATTGGGCGTGCCCTCTGCCACCCGGGAGCAGGCCTAAGCCAGCAGGTCGTTATCTCCCGAGGGGTCCCAGACTGTGAGAGGGCACAGGCCGGGCTGGGGGACCCCCCTCCCCCTGCCCCCCGAGTGCACAAATTTTTGTGCACCGGGCCTCTAGTAAATAAATAAAAATAAACATGTTATAAACTTGCACTTACATAAGACCTTCTTAAATAAGACTTGCTTAGCACCACACTCTACTGTGTGACTTAGAACACATTATTTAGCTCTCTGAGGTATTGTGTTGTTGTTGTTTGTAATCAATAGAATAGAGATGATAATAGAAGTATTGTGAAATACACTCTGATCTGCCAAAGTATAAATCTCATTTGTTACATTAAACTTTGTGGTTTAATGGTTGTATCCAGTTCTGTATACCTCAGTCCTCTGGAGGTACTGAAATTTTATTTTTCCTGCTGCTATTAAGAACATATATGAGCCTGGATGGTGTGGCTCAATTGATTGAGCATCGTCCTATACACCAGGAAGTCACTGGTTCAATTCCCAGTCAGAACACATGCCCAGGTTGCAGGCTCGATCCCCAGTAATGAGTGTGCAAGAGGCAGCTGGTCGATGTTCCACTCTCACATCGATATTTCTCTTCCTCTCCTTTGCTCTCTCTGAAATCAATAAAAACACTTTTTTAAAGAACATATTTGAGTCCAGCTGGTGTGGCATAGTGGTTGAGTATTGACCTATGAACCAGGAAGTCAAGGTTCAATTCCCAGTCAGGGCACGTGCAAAATTGTGGGCTCGTCCCTAGTATGGGGCATGCAGGAGGCAGCCAATCAATGATTCTCTCTCATCATTGATGTTTCTATTTCTCTTTTCCTCTCTCTTTCTCTTGGAATATATATATAGAGAGAACATATTTGAGTCTAATTTGCAGAAATTCTTCTTCTGTTAACTCCTATATCTCAGCACCTCTAGAAATGACAAAATTTTCTCCTTCAACATTTTTGACAAGTTTTTAACCTATTCACATGATTGCTTGCTGATATATGATTATATATGTCTGTACAAAAACAGCAAGAGATCCAGGAATTCTGGATATTCTTTTGATTTTTCTCCTTTTAAGATTTATTCCCACAAGAAGAAAATAATTATTTTTAATCTAACTTAATGGGTCACTTTCAAGAACTCTCTCCACTCCTTTATCAAGCAGATGTAAAAACATGTTAAAGTCTTTTATTTTTCCTCTTGAACAAAAAGATAAAAAGACAAATCCTGTTTCATTCGTAAAATTATTATACTGTTTATTTGCCTGTGTGTTTTGTTTTCTTTACCCCTTCCCTGATGACCAATTCTATGATAAAGTAACTCTATATCTAGATCAGGGATGGCAAACTTTTTGACTCAAGGGCCACAATGGGTTCTTAAACTGGACCGGAGGGCCGGAACAAAAGCATGGATGGAGTGTTTGTGTGAACTAATATAAATTCAAAGTAAACATCATTACATAAAAGGGTACGGTTTTTTGTTTTTTTTTAGTTTTATTCATTTCAAATGGGCCGGATCCTGCCCGCGGGCCGTAGTTTGCCCACGGCTGGTCTAGATCAAGACTCAGTTTCAGGTGACAGAATCCAATTCAAACCAACCCAAGGAAATTCCTAAGGGAATAAGTTGGCTTTGGCAGGTGGAAAGTCCAGGGCTGGGTATATTTTCAGGCATAGCTGGTTTGGATGGTTAAGGCCTAGCTCCACCTGATCCACATGGAATAATTCCCCTCAGAAAGAGGCGGGGCTGTCTCAGCAGAAACAGAGAAGAAAGCACTGAACTGGCAAAAGCAATAACTGTCCACAGCAGTAACGGAAGATGTGTCCTGGTTCCACACAATGTGCACATGGTGCCTACACTGTCGTCTGCTCCCTCAGGTCACTGTTTGCACAAGGGGTAGCAACATTACAGCAGTCTTGATGGGTCATGAAGCCTGGAGGGTATTTGCTTCAGTTCCTTGACTGTGTCTCGGTAATGAAGTTAGAAAACAACTTGCCTGCACTCAGTGTGCTGTTTTGCACCCATGTTATCTGTTGTGATATTCGTTAACAATCCATATTTTGGTGTGTGTGTGTGTGTGTGTGTGTGTGTGTGTGTGTGTGTGTGGCTTAATTAGGGGAGATGGTGTACCATACAGAAGCCTCTTGAAAGCAAATGCTCATAACCTCATGAGATTTGAGTGAAAAATCTTCTACAAAGGTTCTGAGTCTCATTTTCCTAGAACTGCAGAGAGTTCCCGAGGCTTTGTCATCCATGTCTGAAGGCCTAAGTGCGGTGGTTCTTGATCCTTGGCCTGTTAGCATTGCCCTGGACATCTGCTGAGGGAAAGGACCCGCGCTATAGGGAGTGGAGGAGGCCTGTAATTGCGTTGGGAACCGCAGTCTCATTGTTCTGCACTGCAGACATGTTGGCACAGTTGACAAATGCTTGGCCCACTCCTGGGACTCCCAGGGCTCTCTCCACCCCAGGAGTATGACTGTCTTCTCCCATTCCTTCTGCCTCAGGAGAGGTTGAGACAGCTTCCAATTTTTTGTTCCAAAATTAGGTTTGTTTGTCCTCTCTGCACTCCTTCCATTCCCTCTCTCCACAGTCTCTCCCCCAGTCATTAGAATGCTTTGTCTCAAGCACGGGAGCAGCGAGGGGCTATTGGTAACCATAGGCAACCAAGAACCTGTAGTAGCTATTTGTGCTATCTTTGTGAGGCGCAATCTAGCCACTAGCTGGGTAGACAGAAAAATGTGCCCTACAGGTTTCCTTGTACAGTAAAATATCGGCTTCTCTGTTTTTAGAACGACCAGTTCATGGGCGAGATGCAGATGATTGGAGGCTATGGTCTTTCAATACTGGCAGGAAAGGTTTGCTCATGTAACGCTGCTCAGTTCGCACTGATGCCTGACGTTGTGGGGAAATCGGTGACCTTCATTTCAGGTCAGCACTTGCAATACATTTCAGACACTCTCCAGGGTTTGCTAATTCATGCAAATGGATGTGTGAACTCTTGTAATGATTTCTCCTTTATAAAACACTCCTTTATAATGCTTCCAGGACATGATGCAGACCAAATCTTTCGTCTGCGAGCTTTCTTCCAATCTTATTTCAGACAACTTCGTATTGCAAAACCCCTTGGCACTCCTTGTTCTTTCTTGTCTGTTCACCCTTTCAGGTGCCTCCTGAAAAGGAGGCTTTTCCCTTTACTTGTCTGCTTTATGTCTCTCATCTATGCCTCAGCACCCAGGCACTTCAGTAAGACATTTCATACACAGGTTTGTTGAAATGTACAAAATTGGGGGAGAGAATAAAAAAGACTTTTGTGACAGCACGTTTTTCAGCCCTTTGCCCTTCCCCCTTATTAAAAAGATTTAACCCGTTAGATCATGGGGGAAACGCCTTCCATTTTAACATGGGATTCCAAAACTTGCCAAGGCTTAGCAATCCAGTGGGGAAAAAAATGTTTGGATTCTGACATAAATGCATGCATCAGAAGAAAGAGTGTTTCATAAAGCAGTTGCTCTTTGCATCAATGTGACCTGAAGTGAAAGTTTTGCTGTAAATGAAAGCAACACAGATTTTGTTTTTGGTCAGCTCTCCCTCCTGATATACCTTGTTTCCATTATCTCTGAACTGCTCCAGCTTTCTAAGTAAAATGGCTCAGTCTGTTACACAAGCTTAATCTCTCCTCTCTATTTGCGGTTGTTATTGTTATGCAATGGCCGAATGGTGGAAAGGAATACCCGTCCCATTTAATCACAAAATGAATAATAACACTCAGGACACTCCAACGCCATAAGGACTCATAACAAAACAGCTACTTCCCTGGACTCTGAAGGCAAATTGTGGCATCCAAGTGTTAAATTACTATCTAGCAGTAAATTATGTTCCATAGAAATGGGAATTAACTTGATGTTAACATAGCACTAGGCCACCATTTGATGTTACTACTTCAGTGTATAGAATAACATGCTAGGAAGCTAAAATACACAAAGCAATTTCTCAAAATTCATAACTTTTAATACCCCTGGAGTGGTCTTTAAATGATGTCATTTTTTTAGTCTTTTAACTTACCTTTATTTTATTTTTATGAAATGTATAATTTTATCGCTATTTGAAAATTTGCATGTGTCAGTCCATGGTAGCTGGTAACCTGAAAGAATCATTTGTCAGACTAACGAAGGTTGAAGCCGACTCCTGTCATTCTTACTGCTGGCTGGTTTTCCATCTCTCCTACCTCTACTTCCATGACCCATAATGTATCAATGTATGTATGTGTAAGTCTATAGTAATATGTTTAACTTAATGTGTGTGGTAAGATCACCCAACTTAAATAGTACATTTTTATCAAATGCGGAAGTAAACACCAGAGATAAAGCTAGGTTGCAGCCTGTAATATTGTGGAAATACGTCATCAGTATTCCTGAAAGTCAAAAGCTAGCAAGTGACAGTGAGCACAGCCCAACATTAAGCTACATCTGTTTTATATAGTTTTTGTATGCAAATGTTAGCTCAATATGAAGCGTGGCTTTCATTTAGGAAAAGATGAGGCATACGTAATTTAAGTCATTATACCAAGCTAACATTATTACTGTACTTTTTTTTCCTAAGATCTGATAGATATGTTTATAAATAGCAACTGAATTCTAAGTTAATGCACATTTTAAAAATTGACATATAACATTATATTAGTTTCAGATGTACAACATAATGATTCAATACTTGTATATATTGCAAAATAATCACCATAAGTCTAGGTAACATCTAATTAACATAAGACAGTTTAGTACTTTGTTGTATGACATTGCCTTATAGATTTGTTACACAAGTTTATTATGTACCTTGTGTTTTTATCATAGGGTCTGTCAAAGTTGCAACTCTAAGAACCCCAAATGAATGCCTCCATGAAAAAAATTGCACATAGAATTATGGTCCTTCTGTCCTTCTAAAATCATGTTCTATTTTCTTTTAGAGTAATTTGCCTCTTAGGTAAGCACTGGGTAGTCCCTTCCATTAAGAGATAGAAAAGAGGTTGAGGAAAGGGTACTTTCTTACTGGGGGTAGAGTAAGCAGAAGGGGTGATAGCACTGTGCCTCAGTATCCCCTCCCATAATTACTACGCGGACCATCCTCATGAGAAAGTAGAGACCATGGAAGTTGAGGTAGGAGAGATAGAAAACCAGCCAGCAGTAAGAATGACAGGAGCCAGCTTCAATTTTTACTATTCTGACAATTCATTCTTTTAGGTTACCAGGTACCACTTTGCAGTATCTTTACACTCTCCATGTGTACATATGCCAAGTAAAATCCCTTGGCCTTAAAATGCAAATGGTTTAATCTTTCTAAGATGAATCAACATTGATTAGCCAGGTTCTCAGATGTCACAGCAACATAAGGTTGAAGATCCTGCAGTTCCAGGTGCCTAGGCTTGCATCAGAAGGGAATGCTGAACATGCCAGTGAAGACACACTCTGTGCTTTCACATATACCTCGAATCTGCCCACTTCTCTCCATCTCCTTGGTAATCACCAAAGTCTAGACCCTTGCTACTCAAAGTGTGGTCTAAGGCAGGGTTCAGCAAACTTTTCTGATAAGGGCCAGATAGTAAGTATTTTAGGTTTATGGGACATAGAGTCTCTGTGGCAACTGCTTACTTCTGCAGTCATAGCATGAAAGCAGCCATAGATAACATGGAAACAAGTGGCTATCTATATATATAAAGAGCCAGGGGCCATCGCAACCGAACAGATGACCAAACAGGCTGAGTGGGGCAACAAGGCCGGCAGGAGGGTTAGTGAGGGACGGGCGACCAAATGACTGAGCACCAGGCTGCATGGGGTGACAAGGCCAGCAAGGGAATAGTGAGGGATAAGCAAACGACTGAACAGCAGGCTGTGTGGGGCGACTAGGTCGGCAGGGGGGGCAGTGAGGGTGACCAGGCCAACAAGGGGGGCAGTTGGGGGGCGACCAGGCCAGCAGGGGGGCAGTTGGG